ATCTATAATTTATAATATATTTCAAATTCATTTTTAAAATTAATTTGAAAATTTAAATATTAGTTTAAATATTTAAAAAATGATTATTACGTGCACAATAATTAACTTTTCATTTGTACTTTAAAAATTATATAATTTGCAAAGAAATATTTTTTAAAGAAAACTAGCAATGTTTATAAAAATATTTAAATTACAATATTTTATTATTTACTTTTAATTGTAAATTTAATTGTAAAAAAGAATTTAATTATGCATTAAATAAATAATTATATCTACATCTTAAATATAGTACAAGGTAGAAATTGTATTTTATACATATACAAATATTATTAAAAATTATAAATTATAAGCATTTCAAAATATAAAAAATCTAGGATATTTTACATTCATTATTAGAAAACAACGTATAAATAAAATATGGTTCATTACTGCGAAGATAAATGAAGTACTGTCACAATAAACAAATATAAAATTATATAAATTATAAAATAAATTATAATTAAATAAATAAATTATAAATTATATTTACTCTATCGTTGCTCCGCCGTTGCTTGATGCCTCTTTGGGTCTTCTAATCTCTTTCTCTCTTTCTTTGCATCGTTTTTTACGACACTTGCTCGCAAAAACACACGGTTAATTACGATCGTACGGCACTTCCGATTTTAATCACACGCGACACGCACTTCAATTATTACACTGCGACAAAACAATACGAAACGCTCGATGACCGAAATTTATGCCACGACGACGCTATATAAAAATAAGAAACAGCAAATATGCAACTTCAAGAAGCTTAGTTAACCGCGAATCGCGCTTCTTTTGCTATTAATAATCTCGTTTGCCAATACTTCGACTCACGATTGTATTTCGAGAAATAAGTACTGCGTCCTCGTCGAAGAAGCTTCAAAATTGTCATAATTAACGACGTAAAGATACTAATTAATATATACACACTCGTGCTTTCGCGGACCGGTGACAAGCGCGCGAACTTTAATCGAGAACAATTAATTCGCGAAAGTGCGCCAGGGGGTAGCAACATTCTAGATTGTGCTCCGATATTCACCTGAGGCCGAGCGCTCCGTCGACCAATCAGAGCGCAAAGATCCCCGGGCTCCGATTGGTCCGTCAAACTCTGCACCTTGTTAAATAAATTTTCAAACACAATCTAGAATGGTCCTGCTCTTTGGTGCATTTTCGCGAATTAATCGTTCGCGTTCGCGTGCTTGTCGTCGGTCCGCGAAAATAATTAATGTGAGTTCATTAATTAATAATTTTGTACGCCATTATTTAATTATCATACAAATTTGATCGCGAGTAGAAGTGTTTGGTAAACGCGATTATTTCTTATTATTATATATTACTACGATTGTGATATAAATTTGTTGAAGTTACTTGAAAGAAATTTGTTGAACCTAACTGTTTGTTATTTTTATAGCGTTGTCGTGGCATAAATTTCGATCATCGAGCGTTTCGTATTGTCTCGTCGCAATGTAATAAAGTGCGTGTGGCGTGTGATTAAAGCTGGAAGTGCCGTGCGTCGTAATGAACCGTGTTTTTGCGAATGAGTGCCATAAAGGAACGATGCAGAGAAAGAGAGAGGGAGGCCCGAGGAGGCATCAGGCAACAGCGGAGCAACGATAGGGTAAATATAATTTATAATTTATTTGATTTTTCATTTGTTAATTGTTACAGTATCGCCATTTATCTTCTGGTAAAGATCCGCATTTTATATAAGTACGCGTTGTTTTATAATAATGAATATAAATATCCTAGATTTTATATTTCAAAATATACTTATAATATTTAATAATAAATATAATAATTTTTTATAATTTTATATAATAATAAATATTTGAATATGTATAAAATACAATTTCTATATTGTATTATATACATATACTTAAAAGGTACGTAGATATAATAATTATTTATATAATGCGCGGAATATATTCTTTTGCTATTCAATATTTTAATTAAAATATTTTAATTTAAAAGAATAAATAGTAAAATATTGTAATTAAAATGTTTTCTTTTTCTAAAAATATTTCTTTGCAAATTATATAATTTTTTAATTAAGTACAAATGAAAAGTAACCTGTGCGCATAATATAATTTTTAAAATTAAAATTAATATTTAAATTTTCATTAGTTAATTAATTTTAATACTTCAAAAAATGATTTGAAATATTATAAATGATTTGAATATCTTAATAATTGTTTTATATAAAATATTTACATGTTTGTATTTTACAGATTAACATTGCGTGTACAACTCAATGTTGCACATTATATTGGTGAGTGTTGAATTATTTAAAAAAATTGTAAGATAATGCATTTGTGAAAATTATATCAGAAATATTTTAATATATTATATTATATATTTAATATATATTCAATTTAATATATATATTAAAAAGAAATCTCTTTTCTCCAATAATAACTAAGTTTGACCATTTTTTGTACCTATTATTACACATTAAAAATTGAAGTCTCAAATTAATCAGAATATTATATATATATATATATATATATATATATATACATGGATGTCTGACATAAAGTGTCACACCGAAAATATATAAGTAGATCTCGTTATTTGGAGATGATTTTTCCTCAGCAAAAATGTCGAGAGAGGCCATCATTTTTTGGATGTTCCCAATTTTACTATCATGTATCTTTATAACTGAACCTTGAATTAAAATTTTATTAAAGTAAACTCTACTTGAATTAATTGGAAAATGTGGTTTTGTTAATATTTTATTTTTACAAGGCTTAGTTTGCCCTTTATTTTCAATCGCTTATAACTCGAAAATGATTAATGCTTCTATATTTTGCTGAGGAAAAATTGTCTCTAAATAGCAAGATTTACTTGTATATTTTCGGTGTGACACCTTATATAAATATATGTATATATATATATATATATATATCCAGCGTATATTTTGGGACACCCTATTTTTTCAATTGCAAACCATATTAAATAAACTCCCAAACTCTGCATAATTGTCATTTTTGAAAATAAAACAATATTTTGGATATTAAAGCATTTTTTATACTCAACGTTTACTTTGAGGACTCATATGTTCAGCGTATATTTCGAGGACATGTCCTCATATGTCCAGCGTATATTTTGGGACACCCTATTTTTTCAATTGCAAACCATATTAGATAAACTCCCAAAGTTTAGATAATTGTCATTTTTAAAATAAAACAATATTTTGGATATTAAAGCATTTTTTATACTCAACGTTTACTTTGAGGACTCATAAATGAAATGTATATTTCGAGGACATGCTCTCATATGTTCAGCGTATATTTCGAGGACATGTCCTCATATGTCCAGCGTATATTTTGGGACACCCTATTTTTTCAATTGCAAACCATATTAGATAAACTCCCAAAGTTTAGATAATTGTCATTTTTAAAAATAAAACAATATTTTGGGTGTTAAAGCATTTTTTATACTCAACGTTTACTTTGAGGGCTCATAAATGAAATGTATATTTCGAGGACATGTCCTCAAATTATACTTTAAATATATTATTCAGCGGTGTACCGAAATAATACAATCATTTATGTAGTTTATATATTGTGAGCTTACTTCGAGGTCATCTTTTATATAATTTATTTACTTTGAGGACTCAAATGAAATGTATATTTCGAGGACATGTCTTCGAATTATACTTGAAATATATTATTCAGCGGTGTCCCGAAATAATACATTCATTTATGTAGTTTATATATTATGAGCTTACTTCGAGGTCATCTTTTATATAATTTATGTATACTTTGAGGGCATGTAAAATATAATTAGAAAGTATACTTTAGAGTGATCAAATATGATGTAAATTTATAATTTGATGATATATACATAGTTTTTGAAAATTTTAAACCTTAATAAAATGTATTTTTTCCTAGGATATACTTTAAATATATTATTCGGCAATTAAAATAGGATGTCCCGAAATAATACATTTCAAATTTTATATAGTTTATATGTATATCGTGAGCTTACTTTGAGATTATTTTTATATAATTTATGTATACTTTGAGGACATATAAAATATAATTAAAAAATATTTTAGGGAGATTGAATGTATTATGAAAACATTTATAGTTTGAAGATTAATATGTAGTTCAAATATTATCTCTATTTTAAAGTTGATGTTTAAGTTTGAAGTAAAAAATTTATATACATATGTAATCTTGTAATCCTAAAGAGAGTAAAATCTGTCTGTTTATTAATCTATCTATAAATTCGAAAACAATTAGGAAATATATTTGGAAAATATAATTTAAAAAAATTTGTAAAAAATCTCTCTCTCTCTCTCTCTCTCTTTCTCTTTAAAAACAATTGCAATAAAGTTTATTAATATATATTTTAAGGATATACGAAATATTGATAAAGTATAATTTAAAGCAAAAGAATAATATGGCTAAAATATAATTCGGAAATTATTTATAACTAGATTAACATTTGTTTCTACATATATTTTAGGAATGGTGAGAATTTTCGGACATTTATAGAAAGATAATTCGATTTATATAATTTTAGAAGCAAGTTAGATATATAATATATTATTTATTTTATTTAGGAACATTTAAAATGTAACATGTTACATTACATGTAAAAGTATTCAAATAAAAAAAAAAAATTTGAACATACCAAATCAATTTTTTGTAAACGAATAATATCACAATTATAACATTAATGCAAAAAAGTGATACATTGTAAAATAATCTGTATTTTGAAAATAACTTTAACGAAATTTTAAGTTATGAATTTTAGATGTAAATTTATGGATTTTATAAGATATCTAAAATTATATTCTAAATATTGGATTTTATCCGAGAAGTTCATGTGAGTTTCAATAAATTCTATGAACATGTGCAATGTTTTTTAAAATTTTATTCAATAAAGTATTCATCATTTTATTCTATTAATTTAAGATATTTTTATATGTTTTAAAACAATAGAACAAAACACAAAACCATGCTTACTATATTGAATAATGTTTTTATATAATATTCAGAAATTATTTTGTTGCATAATTCAAAAAATTCATATGAACTTCTCGCACAATAATAATAAATAGTATAAATAATAATTCAAAAAGACAAATTTTTTGAACATATATAGGACTGTTGACGATTTTTGACTCGTTTTTGATTATCTATCCACGTTTTGACTTGTTGAGGTGTTCTTTGATTCAATACTCTGTATTTAAGAATGACTTTTCTGCATTCTTGTAAAGATGGTAATTTTGATAAATTTTGTAAATTTCCAAAATGTTTAGTTATTGCCTCTTTCTCTCGATCAGTCCATTTAGTTCTTTTTGTTTTTCCAAAAGGTGAAGCTGAAATTTTAGATAGTACAATAACATTTATTATGTTTTCATAATAAAAATGATAAAGTAATACTTATAATAAAATACTTATAATAAAAATAAAATATTTATTTATAATAAAAATAATAGATCTTACTGTTGCGGCATTTAGAATTTGTGGAATTATTTGTTGACAGAGGAGAAAAAGTGTTTTCACTGTCAAATGTAGACGTATGATCAATATTATCCATATTAGCATTAGTACGTTCGATCATTGCTGGCATAACATGAGCATCTTCTTCATCGCTACTTTCATCGCTGTTTTCGTTATCATCGCTATTTTCTTCGCTATTTTCTTCGTCATCTTCTTTGTCATCATGACCAATAGCTGCCATCAACAATCGTGAAACATCGGTTATTTCAGCTACTGGCACAGGCATTCTATATATATTTTTATGAATGTCCTTGTGATGGCCCATAAAATTAGCGAGACGATCAATTTGACAATCTTCGATATTTAACATGGAAGTATACGTTGCAATGTGCTTTCTTAACATAGTACCACGTAAAGTACTTGGAATGAGTGCACCGCATTCATTGGCAAAACGACGCATCAAAGGACATGCTCTTAGATATTTTTTAGATAATCTATTAGTATGAGGTACACTAAATATATATTCATTATTAGAGCTTACTCCAGCGTATTTTCGAAATTTAAGAATAGTTTCAATACATTGGATTACAAATGGACTAAGTAATACTGAAACAGTTCTACCCAATTTTCCTCGAAGTGTTAAGCGAACAAATTGCTTAGCAAATTCTTTTGTAGAATTGGATAATTGTTTATAAAGTTCTTGATCGACATTTTCATCTAATGCTTCTTTATTCTGATAATTAATCAATGTCAATCGCTCAATTTCTCCAGCTCGGCGACGATTAAAGATTTGAATAAAAATGAGCGTACATTGAGTTAAAAGAATCCATGCATTTAAATTGAATTCATTATCTAAAATTTCAAGGCAAGTATTGCATTCTTTTTTTAAATAATCATACAATAATTTGATATCTTGCTTAGACGGGAGAACTATTTTTTTTCGGCGTTTCTGATTTATTTGATCCTCAAGAGCTTTTTTGTTGATAAGTGTGGGAACTTCTTCTTCCCATAATAATAAAAAATCTTCCACAGACTTTTTTCTCTCATGGTCTTGATTTTTTATGCATTCAGTTCTGAACTTATGTGCACATTTCTTTATCAGAGTCGTAAGATTTTGAGCGACAGCTGGTGTTCGAAACCACATAATATTTAAATCCCAGTGAGCTACTTTTCTTAAACTATCTATAGCTTTATCAAAATTTTGTGGTTTAAATATATCTTTAAATTCATGGATTTCATTGTCCAGTGCTATTATTTCTAGTTTAAAGCGTCCCAATAAGCGAAGTTGTGCTCTAATCATATCATGTTGATGAGTCAACGTATATTTATCACACAATTTATTGCCAAACTGTATGATGAGTTCGTCATATTTAATACATCTTGAGACTTCATCATTTCTTAGAATTGGAAAGACATGTCGACGCAATGTTTCATTAGCACAAGAATGAATGTATCCACATAGACGTCGACTGGAAGAAAAAATGTTACGATCTCCTTTTTTATGAAATTTATTACACTTCGAGTAATGAATACGAATTGTGTTTCGTGCAAAAAATCCTTGACATGTTTTGCAGCATACATAATCTTCTACAGAGTTTTTTGATTTTTTTTGACGCTGTCTTGATACTATTAAAATGCCAGAATTTAATTCAGGTTTTGTGTTATGAAGGAAATCTCCTTTTTTGCGTAAAGTATCGATAATTTTAATTCGTTCTTTATTTTTATTTGGTAAATAAATAAATTTTTTAACTTCTTCTTCATTCTTATGTTTTAGCTTGAGATGTCTTGCAAATTTTGTTTGCAAAGTATTACAAAATGAACAGAAATGTTTTTTTATCTTTCCTTTTTCAGAAGTAGTTACTGGAATTGACAATTTACGAATATCAAGTGGACAGCCATTATCTAATGAAGATGACTTTTCTTTTATTGAAGATTTTTCAATTGTAAAAGACATTTCAGATGTAGCACTGTGAGTACTCTGTTTAGGATCGTAACTTGGATCATTTTTATTATCATTATTATTACTTTGACTCATATCCTCTTCATTCATATTATCATTACTCGAATTGTCTTGTATAATTTTAGAATTACAACTTTCTTCGTTAGAATTGACTTCTCGAGATTTTTCATCAGTAGATATGTTGGGCCAATTCGGTCCGAGTGACTCCAATTTGTCTGTGAATCCACTTCGGGGAGAACTACTTTCTAATTCCGTATTAGTATTACTCAAAACGGTGGGCAGATTATTTAAAGAAATATTTGATATTTCTAAATTCGGAACAGTTGGTGAGTTATTATTTAATGGCGTAGAAAATCCCATTTCTTTTATTTGAAGAATTTGATTTGCCCTTTGCGAAGAATCAGATGAGTGATTACTCTTTCTATTTGATAAGTGAGAAGAATTTTCCTTATTAATCAAGTTTTCATTTTGTTCCAGTTTTGTTTTCAGATCAATTAAATTATCCTGAATATCTAAAATTTTTAAAAATTTTTAATAAATATTAAAATTATTATACTTATTATATATATTATAATACAAAAAAGTAAAACTCGAATAAATAAAAAAGGTATAATTTTATTATAGCTAACAAAAAAGAAATTTTTTAAATATTTAGAAACTTTTAATAATAAATAAATCAATTTATTGCATGTGTTATTATTTAATTAATCTGTCAATATATAATATTAAATTTTAAATAATAATATTAAGTTAATAATGAGTAAACAACTAGTTAAAAATTATTTCATTGCATTCAAAAATTTTTTAAATTATTGTTATAATTATTCAAAATCATATAAATTTATAATAACTTTTCATACCAGAAGAATCTATTAAATCAGCACTGTACTTCCCACCTCCAGTATATTTAATAATGCAATCTTTTCCTTGAACGATCTTTACTCGTTTGGATGGTAGAATGGAATATTCACCATTATCAAATTGTACAAGAGAAAACATCCTTAAAAAATTAATAAATTATACAAGTGAGGAAAATTAGAAACAATGATCTAAACAAATTAAGGCAAATTAAGACAAATTAGGTATATTTAATTAATGATTTTACAGTGATGTTTGATCTCGAAAAATAATAATCTAAAATTAAAATAAAATCTATATTCTAAAATTCAAATTTAAATTTAAATTAGATTTATTAATTATTTGTGTTATTATTATTATGAAATTTTAATTATTATTAAAACAGCAAAAAATTAACTGATCTAAATATTCAAGCACACGAGAAAGATATATTGGAATTAAACAAAAAATATTCAAAAAAATATATTGTGTACCCTATATATATATATATATATTTTATAATTGCCTATCTCAAATATCTCGCAAATGACACATTTTCTTAGAAAATATTTTAGACAAAATTTGCTTGATTCTGAAGGAACTATAAAAACTGCTTGTTTGTTTAATCTTGAGTGAAGGCGTTAAGATCATTTAAATTTTTTTAAATAGGATCATAAATTTTTTATGGCGTATCCATATAGTTGACATCGAGATGATTTTGAAATATATTAATTACAAATCCTTGTTCGCCGAGAAATTCATGAATTAACCATAATAACTTTGACATAATCTTAATATCTTTATCTAACAAAGGACATGTCACAACTGTCAGAAATCGATTTGATTTTCCTTAAAATATGATAAAATAAATATAAAAGTTTAAAAGACACGTATTTCTATACGAGCGGATTTTCATGTTTAAAAAATTAAACATTCCTTTGCTTACGCCGCAATGATACGATAGCCGCTCATCACACGCATAAAGAACAGTGTTCACGTGTCAACTGTTTACATGTCGAAAGTTAAAAAAAATCGATGTTTTCTTTTAGAATCGAATATAACTGAAACTATAAATAAAATGTTAAACAAAAATTTAACTATTTGCAGAATACTTTAAAGTTATAACACATAATTCTATCTATTTCTTTTTTTTTCAAAAAACCATCTATGATTTTTTCAAAATTTTATTTTATTTTATAGTTTAATTTAATTTAATTTATTTGTTCTATTTTTTTCAAATTTAACTATGTATAAAAAAATACGTGTCTTTTAGATTTTAGTGTTTAACAATATATTTTAAGGAAAATCAAATCGGTTCCAGTGTAACATGTCTTTTGTTAAATAAAGTCAAACATAACAATATCAAACAAGCAATAGCTTTTTATGGCCTCAGAACTAAACAATATTACTTTGTCTGAAACATTTTTCACAAATATTAACAAAATATTTAAGATGGGTAATTAAAATGGACACCCTGTATATTATACATTAAATATAAATAATCAATTTAAAACATATAATGTTTGAGTAAAATATTCTGCTTCATCAAATCATTTAAATTTATTTAAAAAAATTCTCATCAAATAATTCGATAGCTTTAATTTAAAAGATTATTAAAAATAAAGTCCATCAATTTTACATACCTTGTGAAATATTGATGATAAACGTTATTACTCAACTAATAAACTTATTAAATGTCAATAACCTTATTAATCATCTGAAAAAGTCTCATTTTTATATTAACTTTTTAAAAATAAAAATAACACAATAAGTATGATTGTAATATTTACCCACAATAATATTTTTCTTCAAACAAACTTCTTATTGCAAGAATAAATTCAATCTGATCGAAATAAAAGCCAAGCGAAGATTAAACGTACGATCCGAACACCCTTATTGCTCGGATGCTAACGCCGCAATGATACAATTGCCGCTCACGCCGAGTCGGCGTCGCCGACCCATCACGCGCATAAGAAACAGCGTTCACGTATTCACGTTTTCAACTGTTTATGTTTCGGATTCGCCAGTGTACGATTGTTTCACATACATATACATGATGGACACTATACATGCTGGTGTATATATCTCGATAACTTTTTAATGATTATCGAAATATATTTTATTTAGAAGAAAACAAAATATGATAATATAAAATATAATATATTATAAAATATAATAAATGCTAATAAATATTATATATTTCTTTTATTTTATAATATTATTTATTATATTATAACATATAATAAATGATATTATAAAATTGCTTATTGTTAATTTATATTATTTATAATTTAATTATTTACTTTATTGTAAAATATAGTAAAAATAATTTTATTGTGACATTAGTTATACTAGTTAGTTTTTCCATTTCTTAAGAGCAATTGACAAAAAATATTGACCGATTTAAATCAAATAAATAGTCGAAATTAAAAAGAAAGGAAGTACGAATTTCATGCTTATTAAATAAGATTTTTGTTTCTTATATTTATAAAAAAGATACATTATTAACATTTAAGCTCATCATAATTTAAAAATTTCATAAAGATAGAACGGATTAAACTAAATAAAAAAGTCCCTCTTTTTATACTTTTGCAATAAATAAGGAGAAATTAATTTAAGAAGTCGGTCTATCCGCGCGAATAAAAGCGTACAGCGAAAAGAAACCGTTTACTAACTTGATACAAAGCGCACAGTGAAGCAATGGAAAAAGCACTCAGCTCGATATTCAATATGTTAATGTTTTCTCCGATTATAATAGAAAATTGATAATTGTAGAAATTAATTTAATTTCATAAATCTTATTATTATATATTATACAAGGTGTTCCAGATCAATCGTTTTATTTGTCATAGAAATAGAACGGGTTAAACTAGGTCAAAAATAGAACGATTGACGGTCAATTATCAATTTTCTATTATAATCGGAGAAAACATTAACATATTGAATATCGAGCTGAGTGCTTTTTCCATTGCTTCACTGTGCGCTTTGTATCAAGGTAGTAAACGGTTTCTTTTCGCTGTACGCTTTTATTCGCGCGGATAGACCGACTTCTTAAATTAATTTCTCCTTACTTATTGCAAAAGTACAAAACGGAGGACATTTTTAGTCCTACAAATGTTCATATATAAAAGATATATACTCTTTTACATGTAATATTTTAATATATAAATGTTCCTAAATAAAATAAATAATATATATCTAACTTGTTTCTAAAGTTATATAAATCGAATTAGTTTTCTATAAATGTCCGAAAATTCTCATTGTTCCCAAAGTAGAAACAAGTATAAATCTAGTTAAAAATAATTTCCAAATTATATTTTAGTTATTATATTTTCTGGCTTCAAATTATACTTTATAAATGTTTCTTACGTCTTTAAAGTTATAAAGAATTTTATCTCAATTGTCATTAGAGAGAGAGAGAGAGAGAGAGAGAGAGAGAGAGAGATGGGGATGAGATATGTAGGACATGTACATGAGACTGATAGAGAAAACAGAACGGACCGCTGAAAAGAAAAAGAATAATTCCGTGTATTGCTCGAGGCTCGAGTATTCGGCGTTGTTTCATGTGCTTAATTTCTTAATCGACCATATACAATATACAAATTTATTGTTAGATATACGAAATTTTAAGACCTTAATAAAAAGGACAGAAATTGCAGGAAGGCAACACGAAATTCGTGCGTCAACGAGTAATTTCGGATGAGAAACGTAAATATACAGGGTATCCCATAATTCGCGAACTATCTTTCGTGAACGGGTACAGCATGTTAAACTGAATAGAAAAGTCCTGTATCATTTCGCTAAACTTGCAATAATTATTGAGTTATTAATAAAAATATCTAGCGAATGAGTGGGTAGAAAGCGGTAGGCCAGAATCGGTGGGCATGTACGATGACTTATTTATTTACGTCTTTTAGTAACAAAAGCATTATCTGATCGAGAGGCAGAGTCATGCAGCGAGCGGCGAGCAATGCCGCCGCGCCGAAAAGTAAGATGATACTTTTGTTATTAAGCGACGTAAACAAATAAGCCCTACATGCTCACCGATTTCGGTCTATCGCTTTCCACTCGCTTATTCGCTTAAATATTTTAATTAATAACTTAATTAATAATTATTACAAATTTATTTGTTTGTCACGGTAACGATATAAGACGTCGTTACATTTTTATAGTAACGGTAACGAATTAGTGGTTAGTTACTTTTTAATTCCTTATTATCTTACTATATATGCTATATACATTTGCCAAAGACTAATTCAGAGTTTTTAATTGTAACATATATTATTATATTTAATATAGATTATTAAGTAAGAGAATTTTAAAATCCAATAGCTTACTTTTTAGCATTACAAAAAATGAAAACGTAACAAAAAGTAACGAAAAAATAACGAATCGTTACTTTCTAAGTAATAATAACGGTAACGCGTTACTTTTTAAAATTAATAACGAATAACGGTAATAAGTTACTTTTTACAATAAGTAATTGTAACAGTAATGTGTTACTTTTTCAGAGTGACGGTCCCAACCCTGAGTTAAATGTAAATATTGTGAATTGTGTATTCTGATTATATAAACTATGTAAAATTTGAAAGTATTATTTCGGGACACCTTATTTTAATTGCCAAATAATATATTAAAAGTATAATTTGAAGGCTTCTTATATCCTAGAAAAATACATTTTATTAAGGTTTGAAATTTTCAAAAACTACGTATATGTATTCAAACTATAAATTTTACATCATATTTGATCTCTCTAAAGTATAGTTTCTAATTATATTTTACAAGTCTTCAAAGTATACGGAACGGACCAGATAAATTATAATAAAAGATGACCTCGAAGTAAGTTCACAATATATAAACTACATAAATGAATCAAGAGACACGGTAGTGTCTCACGACCAGTTAAGGGCGTAGCCGACGAGACACCGTGTATCTTAACGCGAGTCGGGCAGTTGTATTATTTCGGGACACCGCTAAATAATATATTTAAAGTATAATTCGAAGACATGTCCTCGAAATATACATTTCATTTGAGTTCTCAGAGTAAATAAATTATATAAAAGATGACCTCGAAGTAAACTCACAATATATAAACTACATAAATGAATGTATTATTTCGAGACACCGCTGAATAATATATTTAAAGTATAATTCGAGGACATGTTCTCGAAATATACATTTCATTTATGAGTCCTCAGAGTAAACGTTGAGTATAAAAAATGCTTTAACACCCAAAATATTGTTTTATTTTTAAAAATGACAATTATCTAAACTTTGGGAGTTTATCTAATATGGTTTGCAATTGAAAAAATAGGGTGTCCCAAAATATACGCTGGACATATGAGGACATGTCCTCGAAATATACGCTGAACATATGAGAGCATGTCCTCGAAATATACATTTCATTTATGAGTCCTCAGAGTAAACGTTAACTATAAAAAATGCTTTAACACCCAAAATATTGTTTTATTTTTAAAAATGACAATTATCTAAACTTTGGGAGTTTATCTAATATGGTTTGCAATTGAAAAAATAGGGTGTCCCAAAATATACGCTGGACATATGAGGACATGTCCTCGAAATATACGCTGAACATATGAGAGCATGTCCTCGAAATATACATTTCATTTATGAGTCCTCAAAGTAAACGTTGAGTATAAAAAATGCTTTAATATCCAAAATATTGTTTTATTTTCAAAAATGACAATTATCCTGAGTTTGGGAATTTATCTAATATAGTTTGCAATTAAAAAAAGAGTGTCCCAAAATATACGCTGGACATATGGGAGATTGTCCCCAAACCATACGTTTGATATGTGATTAGTTTGAGGCCTGTCCCCAAAGTATACAAATGTCCTCAAAGTATGCATACGCTTGAAATTCTGTCCCCGTTATATACGCACGACATATATATATATATATATATATATATATATTATATATATATATATATTCATTTTCTTGAAATGCGAATTAAGGTAAATTATTGTATATATGTATTTAATTTTTGAATGTGTATCAGAATAAGTATTTTTTTAACCTACATATGTTTATAAACATAAATAAAAATAAGAAATATTTAAAAGTTATTTACAACATATTTCAATTAATTAAATAAAACGCGTGTTAATTATTAAATTACATCCATTTTTATAATATGCGTTCATTATATTTTTTCTTCAAATTCATTTATGCAAGTTTTTCAATAGCTTGATTTTAATAAAGTTTATTAGAAAAAAATTTAGTTTAATTAAAACAAAATAAAGTAATATTTAATAAATATTTTGTTGCGAAATAAAAAATATAGTAAATTATTTTGAAGATTTAATAAATGATATTTATAAGTATTAAAATACTTGATATTTTTCTTTGGAGATATTTCTCTTTCGAGAGGAAAAGAAGGAAAGTATATTTTTTATCATTATTTCTTATTAAGGTATAGTATTTACGTTTGTTTTTTTACAAATTTCTGGTTACGTTTTTTGCAGGTCTACTCAGAATATTATTAAATTTTCAATTTCGCAATGAGATTGTTGCAAATAATAAAAGCTACATCAGCTTTTTTATATTACGTTTAATATCTATGACTATTATATAATATATGACATTATATAGTATATGACAGTTCATATCAAAAGCGCAGTGGTTTTATGAAAATATGATAGAACTCAGAACACGATATCGAAAAAATATTTA